GTTAGCCACTTTGGGTGAATATAGGGAGGGTTTCCACCAGTTCATGGGGCACAGCAAAAAATACATTTTGCTGGATTCAATTTCAACAAAAGCTATCAGCAGCAACGGGCTCAGCAAACAAACTAGCCTCCATTCACCTAGCTGCTCTCTGAAATCTTCTCAAAAAACAGATGGTTGCTATTTTACATAGAGAATGGTGTTTGTCAGACTGGTTATAAAAATGCCAAGCAAATCCTCAAAACTCTGTACTTTCATAATAAGATGCAATCTGTACTTCAAGGTTTGTTTTATTTCCTAGTTTTTATTCGCTCCAGGGATAAGACAGTTCTGGATAGAAAGTAAGGCCAGTCCACATTTGATTAATAGAATGGCACCAATGCAATACGATATGACTTTGTGCATTAATAAAAACAGAATAAATCTACATAAACAAGTTAAAAGGCTATCTAATTTGAACGATAAATGGCATTTGACACATATACAGCATCTCACAGACTGCGGTATCACTGTTCCACAGCAGAGCAGCCATAACCATGTTATATGCACAAACATGACTGACTTTTTAAAAAGGTGCTGTGCTGTGTGCTATTTTAATTCTAAGGCCTTTGTAGTCCTTTACACAGGACACAACTGCTGAGAGGCCCAGAATTTTAACTTTCCAAAAATACTGAGCTTGAGTTAACATTTAAAAAACTTACAGCAAGTTATTGAACAGTATTTTAATCTATAAAAAAGTGTTCACAATTTCTCTTAACTCCCTCCCATGATGTCCCAAAAAACAGCACATCCCTCTGGGGATGTTCATCTGAAGCCAACTGCTTCAGTGATCACTGAACACTGTGAAATGCTTGCATGGTTAGGATAGGAAAGACTGGAAGAGCTAAAAGACAAAAATGGAGCCAAAGGATGACTAAGATTACTATAGTCCTTCAAGGAAGGAAAAAATGATTTGAGGAATTTTATGGGTTTCATTATGCAGGTCAAGGAACTCATTCTGCTGGAAGTAACTGAGTATGAATTTCAAAAAAGGTAGGAACCCTGATGTCAAGGTCTGCTAAAATTAAAAAGTGTTCATCCATTCAAATGAGAGAGCTGGTACCGGGCCTGTTCGAAGTGGCCAGTATTTGCTTTGGATTTGGCCAATTCAGGGAACAGTGATTCGATTCGGTCATTCAAATCACTGTCCCGATTCGATTCAGATGAATGTCTGAATCAGCCAAGCCAGGCCCATCCCCCACCCGCTCTCCCAGCCTGGCAATGGCTGGCCCAGCTCCCAGCACTTAAAAAAAAAAAAAAAAAGACCCGGTCACCACGTACTGCCCGGCAGAGGGCAATCCCTGCTGCCCCCCACTGCCCCATGCTGCATGGGGGGCTCTGCACGAGCCCCTGACCCCCCCTCGCTCCCCGCACAAGCCAGCTCTGGCTCTTTAAGAAAAAAAACAAACCCAAAAAATCCCCAGGACTCGCCACTCCTGCCAGCGGGGGGTGATCCCCACTGCCCCGTGCCATGAGCCTCCAAAGCCCTGAAGCCGCTGCAGGAGTGGTGAGTACTAGGGCTTTTCTCTCTTTTTTTTTTTTTCCTTAAAGGGCACCTGCTGGGGGGGGGAAGGCTCGTGGCAGAACCCTCCATGCAGTGTGGGGCAGTGGGGGACAGCAGGGATTGCCCCTTCCCTGGTAGCACTCAGTGAGCACCGGGGCTTTTCTTTAAAAAGAAGCACCGTGGGTGGGGGCAGCCATGGGGGGGCTGGCAGGGGTTCCCCCATGGTCCCCTCCCCCACCCCTAGTACTTACCACCTTGGAGTCAGCTGCAGCTCCCTGCTGCAGCCACCAGGGACTGCCTGAATCATCAACGTTCTCCGAAACTTTGCCAAAGATTTGGAGAGCTTTGAATTGATTTGGACCTTTAAATTGGTCCCCTGATTTGATTCAGATTCGGAGATTCGACCACCGCATCGAACCGAATCTCCTCCAGATTGAATCACCACCTGAAGCTTCGCACAGCCCTACTGGTTAGACATGTTAGTCTGAAGCCAGGGTAGTTATGTACCTTATAGATTAACTAAAAATATGTACAGAGCATAAGCTTTTACAAACTCAAGCTCACTTCATCAAATGTCCAATCAAAGCAGACAGAGAGAGGGAGGGAGGGAGGGAGAGAGAGAGGATAATTATATACATAAAAATGCACAAGCTTTCATGAGCTGAATCTCACTTCATCAGATGCTGTGACGTATAATGAACAGAAGAGAGAATAAAACTATAATAAATTACAGCCTTGAGGCCAGGAACGTTTGTCACTTGGGCTGCACACAAACAGTGCCTAGGACTGAAACATACCATTCCAATTATTATTTATGCAGTCATGACTCTTATGACAAATGCATCCCAACCCACAGCTTGTTTTAAGCGAGATACAAAAGGCAAATTTATTATGGGTATATCTGCAACATGCCCTTTCCAGATGTCCCTTATCTCCCTATTTGAGTCTCACGAAGTTTAAAAGGAACCACTTCAATCTATAGACTCATAGATGTAGGGTCAGAAGGGACCTAAGTAGATCTTCAAGTCCGACTCCCTGCTCTGGGCAGGAGAGAATACTGGGCTCATACGACTCCAGCTAGGTAATTGTAAAGCCTCCTCTTAAAGACCCCCAAGGTAGGGGCCAGCATCACTTCCCTCGGAAGTTGGTTCCAGATCCTACCCACCCTGACTGTGAAATAGTGCTTTCTAAAGTCCAGCCTTAACCTAGTCTCAAACAACTTATGGCCATTATTCCTTGTTACTCTGGGAGGTGCTCAGGGGAACAGGGTCACTCCCATTCCCTGCTGGTCCCCCCTGGTAAGTTTACAGACGGCCACCAGATCCCCTCTCAGCCTTCTCTTGTGAAGGCTGAACAGGTTCAGGTCCCGTAGCCTCTCCTTGTAGGGTCTGCCCTGCTGCCCCCTGATCATGCGAGTGGCCCTCCTCTGGACCCTCTCGATGCTGGCCACATCTCTCCTAAAGTGCTGCGCCCGGAAGTGGACGCAGTACTCCAACTGTGGCCTGACCGGTGTCGCACAGAGGGGGAGGATCACATCCTTGGCCCTGCTTGTGATGCATCTGTGGATATATGACAAGGTGCAGTTGGCCTTACTGACCATGTCCTCACATTGGCAGCCCACGTTCATTATGGAATCAGTAATGACTCCAAGATCTCTTTCTACCACTCTGCTTTTGAGAAGGGAGTTCCCTAGCCCATAGGTATATGCTGCTGGTTCTTACTGTCCAAGTGCAATACCCTGCACTTGTAAGTATTGAATCCCACCCTGTTCACATTCGCCCCCCCTGCAACCTGCCCAGGTCCAGCTTAGAAATGTTATCAGGTCATTAACCTTTTCTTTGGAGAAAAAAAGTCAAAGTGGACACGGGGAGTTTATTGTGTAAAATATTCAAATAAATGGGGGGAAAAAAAAATCAGAGTATAATTAGCTAATCCCAGAAAATAATCAAAGTTTTTACAACCAGTCAGTTGTTGCTAATGCTGTGGCACTAATGCAAATTTCTTCTCTCAACATCTTATTAATAGAATAATTAATTCCCCATACAAATTAAAAATAACAAACTTAAGCAGTATGCTGACACCTACATTTATCTTAAAAAAAAATATATATATAAACGTGAAATTTTTTTAAGTCACTATTTTCCTTCTGAATCTAGTACCTATAACCTGGAACATCAGAACTACATTTCACTTTTGATATTTTTTTGTTAATTTATAGAATTATTACCTCAATCAATCACTTCCACTTAAAAGACGAAAGCGTGTGAGAGTGAAAGAGAAAAAAAGTTATGCAAACAGAAAGACATTTGTTCAGACTTGGAAAGAAAGTGTCTTAACACAAAAAAAAAGAATAGTTAAGATACTCATAGGCTAATATGTACTTGTTCAAATAACATCTCTAATATACACTGCAACTCAGCATGAGTCCTGCAGTCCTCAAAAACCCAGATAGACCTAAACTGCCAATAAACTGGTGGTAACCTTTAAAGTGCTTACAGTTCCCTGAAATCATGTGGCTTTGTTTTTTATTCAGCTATCATTTTTAGGTTACTTTGCCTCTTTAGTAGAATCTCAGCATCTGTATTTTCTAAATACCTTTCAAAGGTTTTCCAGGACATGGAGGGTTCTCTTATTTCTGCCTCCTGCATTAGGCAAAGATCCTGAGATCAATGTGCCAAATTCTTGTCAAGATTGTAGTGACAGCCTGGATGCCTGTTGGGTAGCTATGAGCTATTAAGATACTGCCTGTTTTCATTTACTGGTTTGGAGGCTTCTCTTTATATTCAAGCTCTAGTACTATGCCTAAACTTGCTGCATAAAAAAGTACTAATTTGTTCCCTTCTTCAACTCACCACCCACCTCAAAACTACCTCAGCTTCTTCAACATAACAGTAAAAAGAGAGAAAAAGAAAAGTCATGGACAGAGGGAGAAGGTGGCCTGCTGGGCAGAGCACAGGACCAATGCACCTGGACTACTGATGAAGTATAAACTTATAATAAAGCATGCTTGTGCCTGTGGGTAGATAATCAAGTCAGGCAGAAAGCCCTAAGAGCACTCCATTTTTTCAGATTTGGTGAATATATTCAAAAATAAAAACATCAGCCGTCTGATTTATGGAGGTTAGCTCTGTACAGAACTGCTGATGTGCCTCATGGGAATCTTAGAGAAACATTCCAACAGGCAGCAGCTCTATCTGTAAGAAACATCCTAGACTCTTCCCCCATAGTGTCTCATGCCCCACAGGACTGTAAGCCTGTGCATAACCATCAGCAGCCTCTCATCACTAATTTCTAAATTAAATGTAGAAGAATTATTTAAATTTTCTTATTCATTCATCCACACACACACACAGCATTCTGACTTTGAACTGCTCTCTCTGCTGACATATGTACTATGACTAATGTATAAACTATACTAGAAGCAGGAAGGAATACTTGGACACATATTCCATGATCTTACCATTGCCCATTGCCTGGCTTTGATCCTCATTTGATTGTAGCTGCGCTCTTCAGCATACAGAGCACTCATGAAAGCGCCAATGGAAGTTCCTCCAATCATATCCACTGGGATGCCTGCTTCAATCAGTGCCCTGATAATCCCTACCTGGGAACACCCTCTGTGCAGTAGGAAGGGGGAAAAAAACAAACAAAACAAACAACACATGATCAGACAAGTACAGGTGTTAGAAGGATCACACACAAACAATTATCCCTCAAAGGAAGAAAATCAGTCAAGAAAGCACATCTTCTATGCATTGTATACAAACTGTCTGTGACTGCAAGGTAAGAAAAAGGAATCAAGAAACAGAGAAGGCATTAATCTTGTGTCTCTTATCAATGCAGGATTATGGCCTACAACTTCAAGAGCTTTGTCCAATATAGCTTTAAATATCCTAAGTGTTGAAATGAGTGCCACTTCCCTGAGGAGAATATTTTACAGTCTATAAATCTCACAGTTGTAAAAACTTCCTTTGCTCAATTTCATCCCAATCCTCCCATTGCCCCTTGGGTCACTCTAAATAAATCCTCTTCCTCCTTGATGTTTACATCCTATAAATACTTGCAAACAACTGGTCAGATGCTCCTTCGGTGTCATTTGCTCACGCTATACAGATTTCATTCTTTCCATCTACAGCAATCCCTGCCAGCTGCTGAAGTGCTGAGATGCAGATTCTGAACTCAGTTATGCTGGTGTAAATGGCTTTTGGATTTCTACTGAAATAACCAAGAGCAAAAGTTAGCCCATTTATCAGTCCCCTGAATTCTGCCCCTGCTTCACTCTTCTTGGGTAGGTGATGCCCTATGTGCCTGATAGCAATGACCCTCTGAGCTTGCAGACCTGTGCTTCAACCTGAGGTCTCAAATAATCAGATGACAATGCTTTTCCTGTGGAGTGAACCCTACATTGTGGAACCTGCTTCCTGCTTATGTCTTTAACATATTTAAATAAAGCAATGTGATACGAAAGTTAAGGCTTCTCTCTCTCAAACAGCACGCTTAGAAAGGCACTGCTGGCCCTTGATCTCCTTCCTTCCCTTACAAGCCTTTATAACTGGACCCCTCATTGGTTTGTGTGTGCATGCACATACAAAGAATGTAGTTTCAGACTATTGTTCTGAAAGTGGTTTCCTCTGCCGTACACTGTCCTGAGCTCTTGAACACTAAATAAATAAAATAGTTATTATTTCTATAGTACGATTCACCACCTCTCTGCCCTACAATGAGGAGCACCCAGGTAATGATACAAATGGGATTTCCTTTACACTAAGACAATACACTTTAGCTAACTGCTAAAGCAGCAACAGGATTAGAAGCATCTTTTTCAAGCAAGGGTATGTCAAAGAAAAATGAAAGGAGGGTGGACTTTGTTGCTATGAAGGGGATTGTGTGCAATCTCCCAATTCGAATAATGCTTAATTCACATGAGGCTTGCTAGCTGATGCTTCCAATCCCTGACCATCCAGAAGAAAAAGCCTAAATGCAACTTTAAGACTGAATTGATCCATGCAAGAAAAAAAACAAACCTCGTGAAACTTCAACAGTTGGCTTTTTGCTGGCCTCTTCTTCACAAAGCAGCAGCACATGTAAGCAAGGGCAATCTGCCAAAGGAAGCTGCATGCAGGAGTAGGCAGTCTGCCAAGCAGCACACATTCCACTACGCTCGCTAAGACAGCAGCATTGCCCTACATATGCACACATACTCTGTCCCCCTGTGTGTGTGCGCGCGCGCGCATGTGCATGCATGTATGTGTGCATGTGTGCACAGAGATGTTATTTAAACACATGCATGCTAACCTATGATTATTTTTACTTTTCTTTACGTGTGTGAGCGTGCGCATGTGTGTGTGTATACACACATGGATGCACACATGCACATGCAGAAATATGCATCTCCAGAGAGGGCAGTCTGTATGTTTTAACATGAGAACTGTAAAAGTTTGTGTCAGGAGCAAGGCCATCTACTAACAATTAACAATGGTAATGAAAGAAAATACAGATGCAAGCAAAGCAGTGATAATATATATACCTCTTGTAGGATCAGGCATAATTTCACAGAGAAGCCATATGGTGCCAGGCAATGATAAAAGTGATGCATGATATTGTAAATGTGCAACATAACCAATGTGCAGATTGTACCAAAACTACACGGATCTACAGTGCTGCTTGTGTACAGTATAGATGAGCACTAGCAACACCTTGCTTTCCTGGACATTCAGGGTTGCTGATTACTCATTACTTCTATTGAGATCAGTGACAGCAGTGCATACTGTTATTGCTAGAAATCAGACCAGCAGTATTGTAGATAGGTACAGGATGCATGTATACTACAGAAAGGACTATGCACTTCCCAAGCAGCTATCTTTAATATAAACACAATTTGTAAGGGTCCAATTCAACAATGCTTTTCCTCTATCCATATCTTATACATCATTCCCCGCAACGACAAGTGCATATAACACTGTGTATAACTTAAAATATCTTTTCTCTCTCATACATTGAGCTTCCATGGGTTTATCCAAAAGAGTATCCCTAATGAATGAATGTCCTTCCAGTGAGAGGGGAAATGAGCCTAAGAGTTAGAGCAGAAGTGTCAGAGTAGGACACTTCTGCACACGTTTTAATTCTGCCTACTCACTAGCTGTCTTGGACAGATCAAGTTACTGACTTGACTATCCCATGTTTCACCTTCCCTATAGCAGGGCTGCAATGTTATTTACTGCTCTTACCTCACCAGGTTGATATTTACAAGATACCTTTAGGTGCAAAGTTTTATTTTTTCTTTCCCCAATAACAATAATTCCAAGTTAAATCATGCCCTTTTGGGGGGAAGGGCTAGAGCAACTAGTGATATATTTGCAGTATAAACTTACCTCCTCAAAACACTATTCAGCCCCTGGATATAGTTCAAGGTTTCAAAGACATGGGATCAGAGTAGTACTATCTTGGCCTTATTGACAGAAGATTTTGCATAAAAATTCCTGATCACGAATCTGGATTTTTTCTCAATTCCCAGAGAGAAATGCCACTGGTATTTGTCAGAGTCCTCTAATACAAGAAGAAATTGCAAAACTGATAATAAAAAAATACAAAAATGTCATTTGAAGACAAGCACATATGTATGCAACGTGGCTAGCCAGATTACGAATTAGATGCAACTCACTGGAAAAATGAGCAAATAGAGCAGGGCATTTCAGATTCAGTAGGAATAGAGACCATACTCTGGGCTGAGGTCAGGCAACTGGAAGGACACAAAACTAATCTAAAACAGATCCTGCCCACTAAGATTATCCCCCCTCAAATTACATTTAAAACACCAATAGGATGTTCTTTGTCGGTGTCAGGGAATAAAAAAAAATACAAAGCATATGCTGAGGAAAAGTGTCATTCATTTTCCAGGCTGCCTGTGACTAAGGGACTAGCAAGGCAGAGTTACTGTTATATCTAATATCATACTGTACTAACTTCCAAAGCCCATTTCAATTTCAGAAAGGAAATGATATTACAATTCAGGTATTCAGTCTCCACATCATCTCTCTTTCTCCCCTAATAGACTCACTGAGGTGAAAGAGGGCCTCTCTAAATAACTGAATAGTACCATTTACTTTGGCTTTCAATTTGTCATTTGAAAATATCATGGTCAGGGCTACTGCAAAACTGCATTGCCTGTCTAAGCAAAAAAAAAAAATCATCTTTGAGTTGAATCTTTGCCTTCTACAACAGGTTTGTGAGCTAAATATGTAGCAAAACCCCCAGTTTTTCTTTTTTTTATTTACTTTAAAATGCATTTCCTCCCCTTCCCCAACCATTTCTGACTTTTTCTCTCCCCCTCTATTCCCTATAGATAAGTATGAGTAAGCTAAGATGTAGCTTTAACATTTTATTTTAGGTAATAAGTTTTATTTTTTCTCCCCTCTTTGCAAATAAGTTCCCTGCTATTTTGATAGCAATACCCACTGTTTTATAAGTGATAATTATTATGTTTGTACTGCTTTTATATTGTGTGATTACTGTTTTAGGCCTATATATGTAAGTTATCGTAAGTCATGTCAAGTTTCCATTTTGTATGTCAAGCCTCCATTTTGTGTCCTCTTCCCAGGCATCCCGTGTTGCAACTGTATGATTCATGTACCCCTCCCATGTAAATTGGTTCCCCGGTAAATGAGAGTGACTGTGAATGATTGAAATACAATGATAGCAGGCCTCTACTGAATGGCCTGTAACGACCAGGCCATCACCTCACATTGATTCATGCAGGAACGACGGACCTCACCCAGGAACAGAGACAGGAATCCAGCATTTGAAAGATAAAAGACCCTGCAGAACCAGCAACTCTACCATTGTACCCCACCATTACAGACACCTGAAACTGCATACCCCTGCATGTAGCACACATGCTCAGTACACCAGGGGCTGACCCTTGCCTGGGCATGCCTCCTGTCACTAGGGTCACACAAGGTCTGCCTCTATAAAAAGGGGCAGTGAAGACAGACCCAGTGGGACACCCTCTCCATCTGGACCAGCACCATGCCACACCTGCCGGCAACCCCCATCTGGACAATACCTACTGAACAAGGACCCCTTTCCAGCCTGGATAGGTAGCTATCACCCCCACCCCCTCTTCAACCACGGATTTGGACTCTGCTTCTCTTGCCTACCTGGACTCCAACCCTTCCACTGAGTCACTTTCTCCTGCTGCGTGCGTGCGCGAGTGCACCAATAACTTCATGGGGCTGCGTTGTGTGTTGTCTGTTTAATAAAACTGTTATTTGGACCCCTAAGTTGGGTTTTGCTTTACTATGGTTTGGCCCTGCCCCAATCTCTGCTCCTCCCTCCTCTAACTTCTGTTTCATTTCTCCCTCTCCTGCTTCTGGCTCATTGCCACCTCCAACACCTGCCCTGAGCTCTCTGCCTCCAACCCCACCGCTTCTTTGCCACTGTCTTATCCCCACTGCCTCTTCCTTTTCCCCTGAGCAACCAGGTTTCTGCCTCAGTTTCTTTCCTGGCTGTCTCCTCCTTGCCACCACTTATCTGCCCGCCCCCTCAGTATCTCAGCCGTCTGCCTCAGTTGGCAGCCCCAGTCTATCTTAAGTAAGCCCAAGCCTCAGTTCCTCAGCCA